TATTATATATTTTATTGGATTGTAATAATACCACAACACAAATGTCATTCAAGACAAAACAACAAATCCATACATTTGTGTAGTTATGTGATGTTTATGAGGTGCTTTCACATGATTTCTTGCATTCCATCTTTGTAACAATCTTGCATGATGGGTTATTATCCTCATTTTTACAGATGAGGAAACTGAGGCTCAAAGTAATTAAATGACTTGCTTGAGGCATCATAGTTAGAGAATGACAGAGCCTGGGCCTAGGGTTTTGAACTCCTTGGAGTTCCCCATGACTTAAAACATTAAATGTATGTGATGAAAAAGAGATATTTATGACTGTGAAGGTTAAAAAAAAATCTCTGAATCTGCTCTGTATGCATGGTTAGCACAGCTTTCAAAAAACTTAAACTGGGGTCAGATTTCTTCTCTGCTTACAATGCTTTGGTGATATTTCCCCCTTCACTTAGTTATGTGAGGTTTGGTTGATCCCTGGCCTCAGTTTTCTATCCCTTCTAGTAATGCCTATTACATTCTTTCCCTAAAAGCAGTTCATGCCTTGGTACCTTTTGACTTAACTCCTCACTTTGATCCTATCAGACATTTGCCTGGCCATTGGTTCTTTCTTCTAATACAGGTGTCACCACCACTTTCCAGCAGTTTTAAGCTCATACCCATCCTCACTTTTCCAGATGCTTTCTTCATGGCATCACTGAATCACATACTTTTGTCCTAGCACAGCGAACTCTTTGTGGTACTGTTTTGATCATTTGCCTCCTTTTAAAAGCCACGCTATTCCTTGATCCCTTTGATTATTTTTGCTCCAATTGCCTCCTTCCCTCTCCTGTAATCCCTTTCCTCTTTATTAAGTCTACCCTTTATTTTCCTGTCATTTCCCCTTTTTATTTAGTTTGTCCATTTGTGAGGAAGCATGTAGTGTTTGACTTTCTGGGTCTTGCTTCATTTACCACAATTGTCTTCAGTTCCATCCATTGTACTGCATGTGATGTGATTTTTTCTGTATGGCTGAATAACATTTCATTGTGTATTTATGCACCACATTTGCTTTATCCATTAATCAAAGGCTGCAAGTGATAGAACACCCAATTCTAATCAGTTAAATAAATAAAAAGGACATTAGAGAGATGTGGGGGTACATGCCTACAATCCCAGCAGGAGGGTGACTGGGTGGCTGAGTCAGGAGGCTTGCAAAGGGTTATGACTCAGTGCAAAGGGCTGAATCTCAAGTTCCATGTACATTTGCACAAAAGGATGCTTATTGCCTTCACTAGGCCAGGTGTGGAATGATAAAGATGGATCAGAAGAGTTATCCATGTAGTTGACTGGATCCGGGCACCCCATCTCTCTGTCTCTCAGGATGCCTTCTGCTTATGTGTTTGTTCCATTATTTTCAAGCTCTTCCACGTAGCTGAGGATATGAATCTTATTATCTCTGCAAACTCACCTTTCAACTCATAATCCAAGTAGAAAAAAGCAAAAATCCTAGGGAGGGCTTTGATTGGTCTGGTTTAGTCATGTGTCAGTCTCTGTGGCTGGAGGCCTACAGACCAGAACTGAGAGACCTACCAGGTTCTTAGGAAACAGGAGGATCAGCGAACAGAATGGGAGGCAGAGGATCCTTGTTAGCACAAAACAAGTGATCTTCTACAACTGAATTCAGCTTCTGTTTATGCCTTGCATTCTATTAAAATATAAGATTAGGGTTGGGCAGAGACATTTATCATTCCGCTTTAACTCTGCATGTGCTCAGCTTTGTTGCTGTTCCACTTGTAAAGTGACCCTCTACCTATCAGCTGAATCTGCCCTTTCTCAAGCAGCTCTACTGTTTTCTTATTCTCAGCATGTCTATCATAATGCCAGGTCCATACTAAGTGCTCAATAAATGATGAATAGAGAAAAGGAAAAATCAAGCTAATCTTGCCTAAGGAATTCTTCCAAAGGTAAATAAGGCAGCCCATGTGAAATCAGTAGGATATGACAAGAAAGTGAGGTACTAGTTGGTACTTTATTAGACTTTTCCCCCTTCAAGGCAATAGCATTGAAAAAGGAAGATATTTGGAAAACAAAAACAAAAGGACACATATCCTTTCCATGTCTAGGACCTTGGTTGTAAGTGACAAAAATCTCAAACTGACAGTGATTTAGATATAACAGATTATTTATCACTTAAATAAACTCAGTGGTAATATGTCAAGGCTAGAATGGTAGTCCATGTCCTTCTAGGTTGAACTAATTCCTGGCTTCCCTATTTGCTGCATGATTTTGAGCATGACCTTGACTTTATTAATAAGTCAAGAAATAATAATACCATCTAGGCTTTACAAATAATTGATTTTGAAGTTTTAATCATTACATAGTAAAAGCTTATATATATATATATATCTTATTGTTATTCCTGCTACTATTGCTAGTCACTAATTTAAAGGTCAGCCCTCTTCTGTATTGACTCACATTAAAACTGTAGAATTTTCCCTCAGCTTTACTGAGGTATGACTGGCAAATAAAAACCATTCACATTCAACATATACAATCTTATGTCCTGATATAAGGTATGCACTATGAATGATCACCCGAATCAAGCAAGTTAATAACCATAACCTCATATCCAGACCATGTGTGCCTTTGAGCATGCATCTATTAATACAGAAAATCTATGCTCTTGGCAAATTTAAAATATACAATACGTCATCATAGGTATGGTCACTGTCATCATACTGCACATTAGGCCTTCAGAGTTTATGACTGTCCTTTGACCTGTCTCTGCGTTTCTACTATACCCTAAATATGGTAAACATCCTTAGATGGACTGAACATTTTTATGTCACATGTATGAGTGAGATCCCACAGCATTTACTGGCCTTCCTGGGTCTGTCTTATTTTACTTAGCGTAATGTTCTGCTTCATCCATATTGATGCAAATGGGAGAATTTTCTTCTTATTTTGTTCCTTTGCATTTCTTGTTCAGTTTTGTTTTGATTTGGTTTGGTTTTGAGACAGGGTCTCCCTAAGCAGTCCACGCTGGCCTTGAACTTGTTACATAATCCACACTGTCCTTGAGCTCACAGTTCACATACTTCACCTCCCAAGTACTAGGATTACAGTTGTGCACCATAATGTCAAGCTTGATTGGCTTCTTTTTAAAGGTTTAACATCATTCCATTACATTTTTGCTATCTCATTTTCTTTCATCCATCAGTGGACACTTGAAAGTTTTCCAAATATTGGTGAATAATTCTTCAATGAAATAGAAGTGAGGAGGCCTCTTTGAGATACTGAGTTTATCTCTGCTGGGTATATACTGTTATGGTTAGACCTAGTATGTCCCCCCAAAGCCTTAGAGGTGGGGCATTTGGGCGGTCACTGGATCATAGGGGTGCTCTCTCCATCAGTGGACTAATCCATGGATGTGTTTAGAGCTAAATGTGTTGCTAGGAGGTAGGGCCTGGTCAAGGACGAATCCCTGGGGCCATGACCTGGAAGGGTGCATCTCCCTTGCTAGCTCTGCCCTCAGCTTCCTGGCCACCATGATGTGAGCAAATTTCCTCCACAGCAGGCCCTTCCACCATGCCATTTCTGCCTTGGAGCCAGCGGACCAGGAACTGTAACCAGGAACCAAAATAAACCTCCTGTCTTGTAAATTGCAGGTGTCACATATTGTGTCTCAGTCACAAGAAAAGTGACTAAGATACATACCCAGAAGCTGAACTGTAAGATCATATAATAGTTCTGTTTTTAATTTTTTAAGGAATCTCCATACTGTTTTCATAATGACTGTATTCATGTATCAAAAAATGATTTCCTCTTTCTTTTTATGGTTACCTGTACCTTCAAATATACAGCTAAAGTTATAAAAAAACATAGTTATTAAATTTTTACACAGAATAAGTTACAATTGGGAGAGTTCCAAGAAATGTTTGTGTCTTGTTCCTAAATTCCTAAGATAAACATCCATCAGGAATTTGGAAGCACGATTTTCTTATAGGAAGAGATAGATAGTAACATATGGAATGAATGGATACATAAAAACTGTCAGGTAGTATTAAGTGCTATAAGAAAAAAATAGAAAGAGGATAAAGGACCAGAGATGGGGTACTGTTTTAAATAGGGTAGCAAGTGATAAGGAAAACATAGAAGCAGATAAAGACAATAAAATATGCAAACTCTGAGGGAAGCTTTCAGCAATCACAAAGCTCAAATGGAGGGGGATAGACATGTAGCTCAGTGGTAGGACGCTTTCCTCCTCACATGGGCAAGGCCCTGGTTCACTCCCCAACGGTGAAATAAAAGACATAATGGAAGAGGTAGTGGTGAAATTTAATTTGAAAAATTAAGTTGGGGCTTTGATGCAAGGGAGGAAGGGAGGAAAGTCCACTCTAGGCACCAGACACTGTCTACATAAAAGGAGCGAAACAGAAACAGGCTGAGGGTGTTTCAAAATGGCCAGGAGCTGGGTGTGGCTGTGGTGTACAAAGAGTGGCAAGCTGTAAAGGTGGGGAGGTAAAACTGGGACACGTGCAGCATGCCTCACATACCACGCCTGGGCGTTCAGCTGCAGGAGCCCAAAGTCATATCCTGGATCTGATCAGGATAACTCTGTAGAAGGCGCCGTGGGCAGCAGCGTGGCTGATGGGCTGAAGCCTTCCCTACCAAAACACCTTTTAGGATTGTACAGACCACAGCAGGACATGCCCTCAGTTTCCCTTCTCTGCCTTTGCAGTTTAGAATTACCTTTTTCTTGTTGGCATCATTGACAGAGATGGAAATAGCCATTTTCTGTCTCTTAGATGGTAACAGAGCCGCTTGCTTTATCACAGACAAAGGCTACTTGGGTTAAAGACACTCTTCCCCATCTCCCTCATGCCAAGAGTTAAATCCCAGCCCTGAGATGCAGATGGAAATATGGCAGGGTTCTCTGGAAATCTAACACCATTTGAACATACCTCCACCCTCTTTTTTTTTTTTTTATCCTTTTTGTTTACCTGTTGTGAAAGGACTTTTCTGCTTAAGATGAGTGCCTTTGTGATCGCTGGACTCGAGCCATCTTCACCTGGGATCCATAAGATGGGAGAAGTAAGAAAGAGCAAACCTATGACTCCAGATTACACAGTCCTCACTCTCAAGCCACACTTCCTCCACAGCAGTTTTATTCTGTGTCCAGGAGAAAGGTGGGTATGTGTTCATCACATCTTCTCTGTAACACAGACTAGTGCTGTTCCAGGTCTTGGGCTCTGCAGAGTAGTCTTTCAAGAAAATCCAGAAATAAATCTTCTAATGAGAGGCTGGGAGTCTGGTGATGCTTAACATAGAGAAGAGAAAGCATCTGACTTCTCCCTACTTTATTTAGGTCCCTACTTTGGTGGTGTTTTCCTAGAGAGAGGCCTTCCCTGATCACCCAGTTTAAAACAGCAGCCCTTTTTGTTCTTTCTTCCGTTTAATTTTTTGTCATAGCACTTATTGTCACCTGAAATTTTCTGATGCATTTATTTTTGAACATAATTCATGCTCCATCTCCCCAACTAGAAAGTAAACTCCATGAGGTCAAGAACTGTGTCTTCAGGGATGAGCAGTGTGCCTCGTACAGAGTAGACACTCAATATATATTTTCTGGGTGAGTAAGGAAGCCTGAGTTCCTAAGTAAGGTATTTCCATTTGTTCTCATATCCTAGTTCTTTGTTCATAAACAGATTCTATTCACAGATAATGTTGTATTCTATATTTTCCATTGATATTGAGCTCTGCCTATTTTTTCTGCATTTAAACCCTACTTCCTCTCTCCTTTCCCATTTTCATCCTTCAACAATCAACTATATTGTCTGTTGCCAAACGTTTCTCCATGCTCTGTGATCAGTACATGTGGGTTTTCTCGTTGTTTTATAAAATGAAATAGAACCTCTGGGATTGTTTTACAAATACTGAAGGGCTGTATATGTCTTTTGCATTCTGTCTTTCTTAAACAGATGGTGAAAATTCTTTCAGGTCAAGATACAAAACCATCATTTTAAAAGAGCAACATAATATTTCATGGTTCAGCTGTTTGAGCAATTTATCCTGTGTTTCTTACTGAGGCCTCTTCTGTGTTCAGTTGCCATTTCTATAAATCCTGCAGTTTACACTCTTGAAGTATATTCTCTTGACCTCATGCTACTTGTTTTGGATACATATTATAATGTGGAATTTTGGGAGTCAAAGAATTTTGTGCTCAGAGTTAATTTTGCTAGATTTCTTCTCCCAAGGAGTGATAGCAATTCACATCTCTATCTGTAATCCCCCAATACCCTTCCCTTTCTGCTGCTTCATATGCAGAACTAAATCTTTCCTGGATTTTCTAGCACTCTTCTAAAACCCCTGTCCTCCAGAGACGAACACGCAGGGCATAAAGACAAGAGTGTTTGCTTTGGCTTGCCAAAGGACATTTTGCTCTTCATACATTACGAAGGCTAGATCTTGAACCATGTTTTAATTTTTCTAATTCAAACAGGCAGTAAGACTTCTTAATTAGCTCCTTAAGAAGCTCAAAAGGCTGAGCCTAGACTAGGACCCTAGAGTGAGTTCCCCCAATGCCAGGAAGATTGGTACCATCACCCTGGGTATTTACATTTCAAAGGCAGAAGCCCAGATCCTAGAGACATTTCTTGAGACAACTAGGATTTTTGCAGTTCTCAAAGCAATGCATTTATATTAAAAAAAAAAAAAAAACTTGGAGGAGGAATCCAACATCCTTTTTAGTCTCTCTGGAAAAATCAAGGGGTTTGCAACCTCCTTTGCAGAATGAGAGGGATGGTGGGCTCTCTCTAGTATACAGATAGGGAAATCGATTGTTCTTCATTCCAGCTATGGAGCTTTCAACCTGCTGCTCACTCAAGAATTTACCTATGGATCCAGAAGGGCGGGACCAGGGCAGCAGTGTTCCTGTGGCTGTTGGCCTTTCTATATCATTGAAAAACTCATCCCTGAATTATCTGATGCGTGTGTTTCTGCAAAGTGTGTGTGTGTGTGTGTGTGTGTGTGTGTGTGTGTGTGTAGAAACCAAATTGTGCAAGTGGGGTAACTTTTTAGACCCCTGACTTCTTGGCAGAGCATTCTTCTGCACTGGGAGTGATTGCCCTTTTTAATTCTCACCAAACTAATGCGTTATCAACTGGCTGCTCACAGTGACTTGGATTGGATAGCTCACAGGCCACCCACGAAACTGAATGTACATATATTTTAGACATTTCAATTTTCTCATGTGTGAGAATTGCCTTTTCATTAAATTTTGCCTATTTTTCCAAAATTTTCATAGAAAATTTTCTTATCAGTTTGTGTGGGCTCTTTTTTACAGTCACAAAATAGCTACAAATAGAGACTGATAGTGAGTGGCCCTTTCCCAAAGGTTTGTAAGTTCTGTTTCTTGCTTGTCTACCTGTATTGCCCGGTATTTTCTTCACCCTGCTCTTCTTCCCACAACTGCTTGGTTTGTTTTCTCTTACCAAACAGGCAGATGGTCTTTAATGCCTGCTCTTGATAGCTTCAAAAGTAATGAATGTGTCAACTTCCCAGGGGATGAAAAAGGAGGAGAGTCACGTGGAGCTGGGCCTTTTGTGGGGCACAGTATAAGGAGGGGGTGTCCATTGGAGACGGTGTTCAAATATGGTGCACAGGAGACAAACCTAGTTTCTCTTGCAGAGACTCCACTCAAGGAGAAGAGAAGAGAATGGTTGGCACCCCCAGCTGGCTCGTCACTGCAGCCTTGAGCTCGCCATGCACACTCTAAGCAAAGTGTGACACCCGACTTCCACTTTATCATAGGCTAGTTGATACAAAAGCAGCCAGAAAGTGGAAACTACAGCTATTTTTATGCCTCTGGGGAGGAGGTCACAGAAGATGTAGCTAAGCAGGACCCGGAGCCAGCAAGAAAAGTCAGTGGTGTCAGGAGGCTGTGTTTGGACCACATATGAACTGGCTGCCCCTGTGGGGTCTTGGACTGTCGAGACAGACAGGAGGGCAGCAGAGTGCAGCCCCGATGCTGGGGGCTGAGGCCCGAAATACACATGGGAAAGGGAGTTGGACAGCTTTGGGAGTGTGGCTCTCGAGGTTCAGGTGGCCCAGCCTAAGTGCCTCCTGCATGAGTGACTGACTGGCTCTGTGCTGGGCAAATTCCTCAGCAAAGTTAATCTGTAAAAAGGAGTTGCATACAAGTTGAGGAGAGAATCAGGAGTCTTTTTCAGATGTAAATTCTGGCTGTAGAGAAGCCAAGAGAAATCCAAGGTCTTAGGAAAATCTGACTTTCCTTGGTCTCTGAAACTCCAGAGGCATCTAACAACAATTGGCCATAACACAGCTTGCGGGCAGGCGTGCACTCTGACCTCTGTAAGAACCATATGTGATGTTCAGGCTGAAGCTGAGGCAGCCTGTCTGTCCCTCAGTGGTGCTGGGCTTGGTTAGGGACCTTCATCATGGTGGTTCTCATGCTAAGCAGCCAGTGAGTGCACAGGGAGACCCAGCTCCATTACAGTCACATTCTTAGCACTCATCTCCAGCCCCATGTTGTAGAATATGTGGCTGCTGGCTGGCCAACAAAGCCACAAAACCTTCAGCCTGCATGGAGACCAAGCATCCTGTATTAAAAGACAAAGCTTTGAAATTTTTCAAAAGGGAAACAAAACACAGGCACAAAGAACAGAAGCCATTTTTGGAGGTTTTTATTCCATCAACCTGTGACTGCACTGAGAGCATGATTCTTAAGGCTAACTGCATTGCTAAAGCTATGAAGCCCTTTAGTGTTGGTAAAGCGTTGATCTTGCCTAATGGTAAAGACATTTGTCGTGACTTTCAGGAGAAGCTGCAGTTCACTAAGTGGCCCATGTTCTTATCTGGCTAGCACCGTAACTAGGTGATTTAATGAAACTGCAGAGGATATTGAGACACAGTTGTTAGGATTAGTAATGTGCACTCAGGTTGACAAGTCTGCTGATATTGACAAGGCAACTATGCTTGTTTTAGTGTGATATATATTTTCAGGAGGATGTGTATAAGCATATGTTATGTGCACTTTTGTTTCCAACCAATATCACAGTGACAGATCTATTCAAATCTAAATAATACATATCAGGAAAAGTACATTGTTCATTTTGCATTGGTATATACATGGCTGGAGTGGCTGTCCCATCTGAATGTCAGTCTGTGTACCATGTCATCCATAGAGAAATGCTGAAAAAATGTCACTGGGACTTACCAGTGTTTTACAAGATGTGATTAAAATAATTAACCACATTAAAGTACATGTCCTTAACTAATGTCTATTTTCACAGCCCTGTGAAGAGATTAACACAGAATACATAGGATGGGATTAAAAAGAAAATGCTTTATATACAGATGTAAGATGACTTTCTGAAGGATGATTTTAAGGTAGCACTCTAGCAAGAGTTTTTGAGTTACGGGCCCCATTCCTTAGATTTCTTTTAGAAGGGCAGGCACCACTGGTAGCACATCTCAGTGACACAGAATGGGTCGCAAACCATGCTTGTGACATATTTAACCTGTTCAGCGAACTTACTCTGTTACTTCAGGGAAGAGTTACAACTGTGTTGAAGTTGGCAGATAAAACGGGAAGTTTTCAAAAGCTAACTGGAATCATGGGGTAATAAGTTAACATTATGATTTTCTGAAATGTTTTAAACATTAGCAGAGCTTTTGAAAGGAACTGAGCCAGGGACTTCTTTTTCCCAGTTGTTGCATAATCATCTATCTCAGAGTTCAAAAGAGTTTAAAGATTATTTCTCAACCAAAAAAGACCCTTGACCTGGGAAAAGATGGATCCATCACCCGTTTGTGAAAAAGCCAGACAAATCAACTTTGTGCCAGAGTATAATCAACTTTTTGAGATTGCCGATGATGCTCGAGACAACTTCAAGCCTCCATATGATCTGGGTTAGAGCCAAGATGGAATATTCTAACAATGCCATAAAAGTACTGAAAGGCCGCTTCCAATTGCAGCATCCTGTCTTTGTGAAACAAGGGTTTCTGCACTGACAGCAAAAAAATGAGACTACAGAGTAGACTGGACACGAGCATCGCACTTTGGGTGTCACTGTCTCCCATCACCCCCAGAGGGACCAATAGTTGCAGGAAAACAAGCTCAAGGCCCCACTGCTTCTGCATTACACTAAATTGTATAATTAGTTCATTGTATATTACAGTGCAATCATTATAGAAATGTAATGTGCAGGAAAACTGACTTCCACAATTCCACCAGTTCTGGTGTCAAAAGGGGTGGGGCTGTGCTACAAATGTCAACTAAATAAAAATAACAGTGCTTTTAATCTATGTTCAAACAGTTTTGTGTCTATTTTTTCTAACAATTTCTGGGCAAAGGTATTTGAAAGCTTCAGTTATGTTTTTCTACTTATACTTTTCTTGAAATCAGTTTTTACAATAGGCAACCGAATGGGTCATTATGAGGCACACACTTAGATTGGCATTTTTATCTTTATTGTTATAAAATGTTCTCCTTACATGCTTTTCCTGAATACCATTTGGCTTTCTTCTGCTCAACCTTAACATGATATTAATTTACCTGTTAGAGACAATATGTAGTTAGAACCTAAAATTTTTTATTGTTTGACAATGTCAGTTTTTAAAAGTGTTTCGTTTATGTTAAATGGTAATTATCTATATGGTTGGATTCAGCTGATTATTATTTCCTGTTTCCTTGACTCTTTATTTATTTATTTTTTTGCCCTCTTTTGTATTAATTAAAAATTCAGGAATAGGGCTGGGGATTTAGCTCAGTGGCATAAGCACCTACCTTGCAAGCAGGCAGTTGTGAGTTCGATCCCCAGTACGGATTAAAAAAAAAAAAATTCAGGAATGGAGGTATAACTCAGGAATAGTGAGACATTAGATTTAATCACTCTCCAGTACCTAAATAAATAAGAATAAGTAAAAAGGAGATTAAAAATCAGTTTTATCTACCTACTTACTAGATATAATTATTTTCTTTATTTTTAAAGTATTTTACTATAAGGTTTACTATATGCATTTTTAAATGATAGAATTTTGTCTTAAAGTAATATTTTCATGTAAGAATCTGGAAACAGACTTTTTCCCCTTCCATTTTGTATACTACCGGCACCATATATTGTACTTTTATATTTGTTCTAAATTTCACAATACATTTCATTTGCTTTAAGTGGTCACATTGTTTTTGAGACAGGGTCTTGCTACGCAGTTCAGGCTGGCCTTGAACTCACTATGTAGCACAGGTTGTCCCTTGAATTCCTGGTGATCCTCTTGCCTCAGCCTTCTGGGATTACAGGCGTGCACCACCAAATGCAATTTAAACAATAATTTTTAAAATTTAAAAAAAATCTAAAATTCCCATATTTTTACTACTATTTCTTGTGTATTTGATTTTATCTGATACAATTTCCCTTTTCCTGAAAAAGTTTCCTTAAATTTTTTTTTGGCAGAGCAATTTTGCTGATGATAAATTCTTTGAGTTTAAGTTTTTCCTAAGAAAGTTTTATTTTGGCCTTATTTTACAGGATTAAAAAAAATTCAATATCGAATTGTAATTTGACAGCATTTTATTTTATTTTTTCAGCATTTCAAAGCTATCCCATTGTCCGCTGGCTTCCATTATTTGAAAGAAGTCTGTTATCATCTCTTTGTTATTCTTGATTGGATGTGTTCCCTCCACAGCCCCTAGCTGTTTTAGAGTTTTACTTTTCCTCTTTATTAGTGTTTTAAGTAATTTGTGTTTGGGTGTGATTTTTAAAAAAAATTTTCTTATGCTAAGTGTTCATTGAGCTTCTTAAAAGTGTTTGTAGTTTTCATTAAATTTAGAAGCCATTTGACAATTATTTTTTCAATTGTGTTTTCAGCACATCTTTATCTCTTCATTAAATAGATTCTTTTTGTTTCACTCTTGCGGTTATAATGGGGCAATGCTGCTTTTAATTTTTCCTTTTCCATGACAAGGGAGGACGGTATCCAGGAAAGCTAGATTTTGGACCTAGAAAGGATGGCACTGAAAGGAACACTCATTGCTGATGGACAAGGAGCAGTAAGAGTGGTCTCTAGCTTTAAAAAACAGGCGAGGCCACACGGGTGGTCCCTGCTGACCGGCAGCCTTGGCCAGGTTCTGGGAGGAGCGAGGAGTCCGGGTGTGGCGTTTACTGTCTCCTGCTTCCAACACCGGTCCAGGAGCTGGCTTCATTTCCATTCTCAGGCGTGGACCTGGCTGTCACTCTGAACTGACTGGGGGGCTGGCGTTGGCATGAGGGCAGTGGAGAATGGCCCCGCGATGAGACTGGTTATCCAGCGGTGAATCCCAACCCGGTGCCTGCGGGGTGGACACCAGGGCGGCTGCAGAGGGCTCTGTGCGTCACCCATCACTGCCTGGATTCGGCCTGTGACTGCTTCCTTCTCTTCTACTCCTTTACCTCTATGGTTACTCTCCCATTTTGATGACTATTTATCCAGTGCTTTTGTGGGATGTGGCAGCAGACAGATTAAAAACCTTTTAACTTTAAAAACAATTTTAAAAAGTTAAATGTCCTTCCTATTGTTGGCAGCTGTAATTTGGGAAAGCCCTAACCTCCAGAAATGATCCTCTTAAGAATTTATTGTATAGTTTCTTTCTTTTGAAAATCTAAACAGCTCCTGGTTGATGTAAGATAAAACATTAAAATCCACAAACTAAATAAGTTAATTTCCTATAATTATTAGAGATAGCTATTCCTATAATTTTGCTTATAATCTTTAATTTTTAAAAATATTACTGTCTCTCCTCCCCCACTTGCCCTTGGTGATCAAACCCAGGAGCACTCTGCCACTCAGCTACATCCCCAGCTAGCCTTGAATTTTCAGCCTTCCTGCCTCAGCCTCCCACATGCTGGGGTTGCAGGGATGCACCATTATCCTGCCTCTTTTGTTTCTATAAGAAGAGCAATATATGGGTCTGTGTAACAGAATTTATTTATGTTTGCAAAGTGAAGATCTTTTAAATTTTCCACAGCATTCAGTATAGTATTTTTTAAAAAATTTTTTATTAATATTACCTTTTTTCCAGAAATGAAACATCATTGTTCACCTTTCAAACTTGTAAAACTGCATACTTTAGAAGGGTATAATTTCTCACAGTCCAACTCTCCTGAAGTAACAGCCTTTTTTACTGACACTCTATCGACCAAAGACACAACAGAGAACTTGGTATACTTCTAACATGTCACATGCCTTTGAATGTGTATGTTTTCCCCTTGGAATTCCTTCAGTCTGAATTTCACCACTGGTAAATTTCTGCTTTTTAAGGCCATTTCATGTACCACTCCTCTCAGGAGTTCCCATCAGAGCTGGTGGTCCTATTCTCTGTACCACTGGGTTTTGTACATAACTTCCCTCCCGTGTTTATTGCTCGGGAGGCTAGACTTTGAACAGCTTTCATCTGATTCCAAAATCCATATATTTTTTTTTCTTCTGTCTCTCTGTGTGTGTGTTATGATGATTCCTTGAGGCTTTTCCATTGGAATTTAGAGCAATGAGCTCTGATTCTTAATTTGCTGTACACATTTTTTTTTCGCTTTTTAAAGTTGAGACATAATTCATTTGCTATGCAATACCATTTTAAAAAATTATGTAGTTCATTATAATTACTACAGTTTTTAATTCCAAATTTTTAATGGAAAGAGTGGTATTTCTTATGCTGGTATTTCTAGTTCAAAGTAGAATGCTTAACCACAATAAGGCACTCAAAAAATGTTTCCTGAATAAAAAATTATTTACCATACACTCTAAGCCAACACTTGTCAGATTGAATATGCATACAGACCACCCAAGAAGAAGATAAAAATGCAGATTCTGATTTTGAGGGTGAAATCTGAGGTCTAAATTTCAAACAAACTTTACATTTGATGCTTGCGCTGGTGACCCAAGGTTCCTGCACAGAATTGCCAAGGTTCAAAACACCCTAAAATACAGGTAGTTACCCGAAATTCTCACAAGGGGGCGCAGCAGACAAACATTTTACTCAGCGCGATGCATTGAATGAATTCATGACAAGCTTTTCAGTAGTTGCTTTGCTAATTATTAGTTATGGAGAAGGCACAATAGATAGCTCAGTGTGCTAAAAATAGATTTCCCTTTTCCTTTCCATTATCTTTTAATGAATTCTCCAAGATTATACGTACAGAACCTGGAAGTATTCAGTAGCTCTGTGATTAGCAGGGTCAAATAAAAATATTAGATGTAAAAGTGATAGTAATAACACAACTACAAATAACAATGACACTAGCATATTACTATTGATACTTACAAAGTGTGTGGCATAGTGTTATTGTCATACGAGTTTACATTTAACTCTCAAAGTGAGAATCCCAGGAGCTAGATAATGCCTTCATTTTGCAGGTAGGGAAATGTATACTTAGAGAAGTTAAATAAAACAAGCACACTCTGCAGGCATTAGAATTTGAATATGCTCCACTCTTGTGTTCTGTGCTGCCCCCCGCCAATTGTTATTGGGATTTAAAGCAGAGATCTGAGTCTTGACTTACTCTTTTGTAAAAGTGAGACATGATTCACATACTGTTAAATTCACTTTCAAGGTGTGCAGTTCAGTGGTACTTAGTACAACCACAAAGTTATGTAGCTGTTGTCATGATCTAATTTTAGGGTACTTCCATCAGCCCCCAAATGAAATCTCCTACCCATTGGCAGCCGCTCCTTCCCTCCTCCTAATCTACTTTCTATTTTATAGATTTATAGGTTTTCCCATCTGGGCATTGCCGAAAAATGCAACAATATCATATGTGACCTTTTGTGCTTCATTTCTTTCACTGAGTGTAAAGTTTTCAAAGTTTATCCTTGGTGTGAATTGGTGCCGCCTCCTTTTTTATGCCTGAATAACATTCCATTGTGTGGAGTATATCACAGTTTGTTTACCTCAAAGAGTTCATTAGAAGATAAAAAAATGAAACCTGAAATTCAGGGAGAGGTCAGGTATGGGGATGGAGACAAAGGTCTCGCCTTGTGTGTGAATGAGACCCCTAGTGAGAGAGAGGGAAGCTAAGAAGGCTGAACACCGGCCCTAAGAAATGACTTCTTGGGGCTGGTCAGAAGTCTGTAAGCAACAGTGGCTGCCCCTGGGAGTGTGGGCAAACCAGGAGGAATGAGGGTCACAGAAGCCAAGGAGAGAAAAGCTCACAAAGCATCAACGCATCAGCAGCATCTGTACTGACCTGAGATGCCCTGAACTCGGCCATGTGCAGCTGTGGCTTCCCTGGGAGGAATGGTGGGAGGCATGGTGGATGGAAGGAGATGGGCGATATTGCAGTTT